GTTTTCAGACCCATCGCAGAATTTCTGGGGAGCCCCTACCTTACAGAATTTAGAGGATCAGGTGGACACTTGCACTTTTAGGAGAAGGGAGTGGATAGGGGTAGCTGAGAAAAGTTTCAATTTTCTTTGGTAGGGGTTCCAGAAAATAGACCGAACACACACATACACCAAAAATCAGATGCTAGCAAAGCCTTGCCTCCTGGAGGGATATTGGGGTGTCAGGTGGAAGTTCTGGGGTCACCTAGAAACATGGGCCAGTTGCTCGGATGTCTGGAAGGGTGGAGAGCATCTCTTAAGGACCCAGAGAAGGGAGGGGTCCACATTGGGGGAGGAAGGGGAGAGGGTGTGGAAGAGGAATGGCCAAACAAGATGTGGTCCATCATCCCCAATGGGAACCGGGTGGAGCATCGTCCTCCCCAAATTTGTTCAGGAGACAGACCCGAACTTCCTGCTGCAAATTTGGCTGCTGGACACGTGTCCTTCTTCCTCTTGCTTGACCAGGAGACCCGAAGCGAGTTAGTGGAGAGAAACATCTGGAGTGGAGTTGAAGGATGCTAAGAGATGGGAAGGACCCAGCATGAGCCTGATTTCCACCCAAAAGGACCTCTTTCCTGGACCCAGCGTGAAAAGCTTCAGGAGAGAACCTCGTTCTGACCCACCTTGGAGTACAAGCTACTGAATTCCATGTCCCCCTCCTCAGGATGACAGCACACCCATCCCCTGCCTTTTGAGTTCATAGCGGCACAGAGCTGGTTATGCCGAGCCTCATCAATCCACCTGACCCACCTCCAAAAGACAGAGCTTCTTTTGTAAAAAAAGGAGGAGATTTAATAAGAAGATCTACGGTTGTAAGAGAGATGCCTTCACTAGGGAGTTCAGGTGTTGTCTGTGGAAAGTGGTGCACAGCAACGATTCCCATCAGGGACCGATTCCATGGAGGCTGTTTTTTCCACGGACAAGGTGGCCATGGTTTCACACGCTGCTTGGATTCTGCACATGCACAGATGGAGCCTTGCTCACTTGTGCAGCCTGGTTCCTGGTGGGCCATGGCCCGGTGTCCGTCCACGGCCTGTGAGTTGGGGACCCTTGGCGTAGATAATTACAGAAATGCAGAAACTTTGTGGCAGCTGATAGGAAAAAAATGATTCACTCCAGGAATACAGGAAGGGGTGAGAAAGAACCTCAAGGCTGCCCTGCCTTGATGCTCTTTGGTGTCAGAAGGAGCGAAGGGAAGATTCTGCTACTATAATCTATTCTATACCAATAAAGTCAAACTCTAATATTTCTTGTGTTATTGGCATCCTAGCCTGATTTACCTTGAAGGACTGACAGATGGGGAAGCCCCAACGAGTCTGCGCTTCCAAAGGGACACTTGTCGAACTGGTAGAGAATTAGGCTGTGAGGCCTGTTGAGAAAAAACGAGTAAAGTAATAATAAAGTAATAAACCCAGCATGGGTTTGTTAAAAACAGATCATGCCAAACCAACCTTATTTCATTCTTCAACATAGTGACTAAATTAGTAGACCAGCGAAATACTGGACATTCTGTACTTTTTGGACTATAAGACGCACTACCCCGCCCCCCCCCCAAAAAGAGAGTGGAAATGTTGGTACGTCTTACACAGCGAATACAGTCATCATTTTCTGGATTGCTTCCACAGCTAAAGGATGAAGAAAGAAAGAAAAGAAAAAAGAAAAGAAAAGATGGAAGGAAGGAAGGAAGGAAGGAAGGTAGATTGATTGATTGTTGGTCCTGTGTCAGATAGACTATACTTGTTCATGGAGGCTCTATCAAAGATTGTCAAATGTTACTTTCTCCTCCCCTTCTCCCCTTTCACCCTGATTTGATGCCATGTTAAGGGGGGGAAATGTAACTCAAGAAACGTGACGCATTTCAGGATTTGAAGAAATAAAGCACAGGGGGTCACTGACCAGCAGTGAGCCATGCCTGGACTGCCAGTCGACTCAGGCAGATGACGTATAAGTCACTCTTGGGGGCAGCCTAGCAAGAAAGCTGGAGGAGAGCCGTGGAGGGAAAAGACGGCCTCCCCCTTTCCCCATACAAAACTGTTGCCTTGTAGGGGCCTAGAACAGCCTTCAAAGCAGAGAACAGGAGGAAAAATTGCCATGACGTTTTCCTGAAATAAATTAAATGTGGGGCTTCTCCCCTGTTGTAACCTATGCTACGGTTGCAAGCAACTGCCTAGGTGGGGCCAACGGCTTTTTCTCTGGCAACAGATACAGACAGGGTTTCCCAATGCCTCCCTCCTAGGGTTGAGGGGGAAAATAACTAGCCTAAAATCACTCAGCCGGCCCTCATGCCCAAAGCAGGATTTGAAGTCACAATTCGCCAGCTTTGCAGCCTGTGGCCATAAACACGAGACCGAATTGGTTCCCTGTAGAGGGTTCCCCCCCCCTTGACTCCAAGGAAAAGGAAAACAAATTGAGTGTCCAGCAGTTCATCATCTCTTGGCAGCAGCCAGGAGTTCCAAAAACACATTTCATAGGATTGATCCTTTGACAAGGACGCCCTCCAACGCGTTAATTAGGATAAACCCAAACTAAAAGGCAAAGGCAAATCACTGGAAAGTTTACACACTCGCACACGAGGATGCCAAGAACAGAATCTCGGAGTGGGACCTTAAAGGTCTTTTGGGCCAATCCCCTTCTGGGGAAAAACAAATGTTGTTCAATTTCCTCTTAGAAACCTCCAGTAATGAAGAAGCACCCACAGCTCCTGGAGACTAATTAATCCCATTGATTAATTAGTCTCCCCATCGGGAGATCTTCCTTAGTTCTAGATTGATTAGTTTCTGGCTATTGCTCATTGCTCTGCCTTGTAAAGTGTGTGTATGAGAGAGAGAGAGATTGGATGAGAGAGAGAGAGAGAGAGAGAGAGAGAGAGAGTGAGTGTGTGTGTGTGTGAGAGAGAGAGATTGGATGAGAGAGACAGAGTGTATGTGAGTGTGTGTGAGTGATTGTATGTGAGAGTGTGTGTGTGTGTGTGTGTGAGAGAGAGAGAGAGAGATTGGATGAGAGAGACAGAGAGAGTGAGTGTGTGTGTGTGTCTGTGAGAGAGTGTGTGTGAGAGTGTGTGTGAGAGAGAGATTGGATGAGAGTGTGAGTGTGTGTGTGTGTGTGTGTGAGAGAGATTGGATGAGAGAGACAGAGTGTATGTGTGTGTGTGTGAGTGATTGTATGTGAGAGAGTGTGTGTGTAAGAGACAGAGACTGGATGAGACACAGAGAGTGTGTGTATGTGAGATTGGATGAGAGAGAGAGTGAGTGTGTGTCTGTGTCTGTGAGAGTGTGTGTGTGAGAGTATATGTGTGAGAGAGATTGGATGAGAGAGAGTGTGTGTGTAAGAGACAGAGATTGGAGGAGAGACAGAGAGTGTGTGTATGTGAGTGAGTGTATGTGAGAGAGTGTGTGTGTGTGAGAGTGTGCGATAGATTGGAGGAGAGACAGAGAGGGTGGGGGGAGGGAGAGATGGGATGCCACTGTGCCCCTTTCCTTCTCAGGCAGAAGGGGTAAGCAGGGGGGGAAAAAAAGGTTCAACAGAAAAGGGGAAAAAACATACCCCCCCCTTTCCTACACAGATACAATTTCAAAGGCGAGATTTCTTTACCTTGAATATGTTATACAGCTGTTAGTATTAACTACGCCCCTGGGTTTTCTGTCTCAGGCCTCCCTCTCTTCCTTTCCAAAAAGAGCTGAGGAGTGGCCCCAGGAGGGAAGGTCTGCTTCCAGGGTTTGGTTGGGCCTTTCAGCCAGATAGAATTGGGGCTTTCAAGCATCACCCGGGGGGGGGGGGTGTTCCTACCTGTCAATCATTTGCATCCCCACCCCCAGTCCTCAAGGAGAACATATTTTTTTTCATGGCTTCCTTGACCTCCTTCTCTGCAGGGCTGTGTCCCCCCTTCCCTTTTGGGGCTCCGTCTCTGGGAAGGAAACTGAGATAAGGAGGAGCTGGAGGGATTTCAGACCCACTGCAGACGTTCTTGGGAGCCCCCACCCCACAAAGGGGAAGGCTGAGAAGAAACACCTGGAGTGGAGCTGAGGGACACTAAAGAGATGGGAAGGACCCAGCAGGAGCCTGATTTCCACCCAGAAGGACCCAAAGTGAAGAGTTTTCGGGGAGACCCTGCATTCCGACTCAGCCCTCGAGTATATTCTCCTCATTCCATGTCCCCCTCCTCCAGGAAGTCTCCCTCTTCTCTTCTGCCTGGTGAGGGCATCATTGTGTGGAATCAATTATGCTGAGTGGATCAAGCTTGCCGGTCTCCCTGGTGCCCCCCAAAAGACACAGACTCTTTTCTAAGAATGGAGATTTAACTAGAAGTTCATTGGTTGAAAGAGAAATGCTCTCTCTAAGGAGTCCACGTTGGCCAATGGAAGGTGGTGTAGAGCAGGACAGAAACAGCCTTGCGGATAATATGTGGCAGCTGTTAAGGAAACACAAATTCACCCCAGGAAAACAGGAAGGGGTGAGAAAGAACCTCAGGGTTGTTCTGCCTTGATGCTCTTTGGTGTCATAAGGAGTGAAGGGGAAACGTTATCAAGATTTCTGCTAGTATAATTTATACACATAAAGTTAGGGTTAGGGTTAGGGTTAGGGTAAAGTTGAACTCTAATATTTCTGGTGTTGGTGGCTTCCCAGCCTGATGTACCTCAAAGGATTGACAGATGGGGAAGCCCCATAGAGTCTGTGCTTCTGAAGGGACAGGGGTCCAGGATGGGAGAGGATTAGGCTATGGGACCGGTTGATACTGGGGTGGGGATGAGGGGAATGGATTTTCTCATGCGCTTGAAGTCTCCTCATCTGAGGGGAGAAACCAGGTTCTCTAAGAGGAGGAACTGGCTCAGGGAGACTAGGCCATGAATCTCTGACGGGGTTCTTCAGAGGTCACATGGTGAAGGCTGGATTAAAACACAGAACAGAAGGGCTCAACGTTCTGACTGACGAACCCAACCAAAGCAAACACAGTCGAGACGATCCAATCTCTTAATGCAAAACTTTATTGAGTACATTGTATTGCAACAGCAAAAACTTGACAGGGGCCTTGGGCAGAGATGCCACCTTGGGAGCAGATGACCAGGCAGAGGGACTTCCTGGTCTCTGATGCAAAAGGAAACAATCAGAAGTTGTGTCTTTTGTTGACGTTCATCATGTCTTCTCTGTAGCAAGGAGCATATTTGTTCATTTCCACCAGTTCATCAATCATGGCCATCAGTTCGGCCACCTGAGCCTCTCGTTCTTCCCCTTCGGCTTTGTTGTTGAAAGCCAACTTCCGGTTCCCACATTCAGCAATATATTTTTCCCCTTGGACAGATATAAAACTTCCTAGAGATTCACTTTCCAGGTCATCTTTGCGGGTGAACAAGAGGATCATGTAATCCTTGGCTTTCAGGCCAAAAACCTCTTTGATCTGCTGGGCCACACCCGTCTCCCACTGGAAGGAATGGGAAGGATGGATCACGTGCAGAATGACATGGGGACCCGGGAGCAAAACTTCATGCACTTTCTCACTTCTTCAGCAATAGCCTTGTCTGGCCGATGGGAAGAGGAAAAGCCAGGCGTATCAACAACCACAACCTTCCTGCCCTTCAGTTGCGCCTCCTCCTTTTGGCATGCTTCTGTTACTGACTGAAATGACCACTCAGACTGCAAGACTTTCCTTCCCAGGATTGTGTTTCCCGTGGCACTTATCCCACTTCCGCTTCTGCCCACCAGGACGATCCTCCGTTCAGGCCCTGCAACCCAAAGGGGAGAGGAGAGAAAAAGGGGATTGGTCAGTAGTGTAAAGCCTGTCCCTCCACCCAGGACAGTTGCTCCCACCCCCTCCACCCCCCCACCCCCCAGGGACCAAGACTTTACCTGGGATGCTTCCAGCCGTTTCCAGACCAGTCGCACAGCACAAAACCCGGGATTTCTGGGTGAAAAGAGAAACAGAGTCAGCCAAAGGAGAGGCTGCCTTGCGGGGCGGTTGCCAGGATCTCTCCTACTGCAGAAGACACAGGGAGGATTGGAGGCGGGGAGGGGGGTAAAAATGAGCCACCCCCTCCTCACAGCCCTTGATGCAGACCCATCTGATCCTTCCCCCCATGCCACCCCCCTTTTTATGCAGCCCTTCCATTCTTGGGACTCTGCACTTTGGGGGTTTCAGGAACGGGGGGCGGGAGGCGGGGGTTGATGTCCGAAGTGGCTGTCAGCTCCCCACAGCTGACTCCGTGCTCAAAGATACCTGTTCTCTGGGGCTTCAGCTGCTCCTGCCGCACCTCCACATTGTCTCCAAGGGTCCCCCCAGATCATCTTCCCCCAAGTTCCCTCCTGGCCACCCCAGCCTCCTCCTTGGCCTCCCACCTGCTCCTCCAAGGTGGTCTGAATTGAATCCTTTCTGGGGGGTGGGAGGCTCCTTCAGTGAGGGCTCTTTCCTACATCCTCTCTAATCTGGGCAAGAAGCCTCTGCTGAGAATGCTGGTTTGCACCTGTGCCCTCCCCCACCATCACTCAATTCTGCCCCTTGGGAACTTCCTCTGCCCCATGGCTCTCCTTCCTGAGTGGAAGGTGGAGGACTTTGGGGTCTTCTCAGCCAACCCTACTCAAGGAGGAGACCCTATATCATTTCAGACAAGTGGCTGCCCAGTCTTTTCTTAAAAATCTCCAGAGATGAAGCACCTACAACTAATATCAGGCTATTCTAATTCTCTTCCTCTTCCTCCTCCCCCTCCCCCCCCCTCAAGTTACCTCAGCAGGCCTCCCCGTAGGACAGATGCAAGTGATTGCCTCACTCCATTGACTGAGCCCTCCCGGAGTCACAGCTGCACATCGGAATTGGTACTGAAGGTTTAGGTGGACATCTTCCAGGGTGAATTGATCCTTTGGGCCTTCAGTACTGAGACTTTTCCAATTGTCTCCTGCAATCCGATATTCCACCTGGTAGCTGGAGACCGAAGCCTTCCCGATGGCTGCCGGATCAATACTGATCTGGAAACTATTTGGGTGCACTTGCTCAACCTTAGGAGGGGGAGGACTTCTAAGAGCAGCTTCCAGCTCCTGACGTTCCTTGAGGACCTCCATGGTCAAGGTTAAACTTTTGGTTTCCATCATCTTTAATGAGTCAAAGAAATCCTTCATGTTCTCGATGCTCATTTTCCATAACATTTCAGCAGCAGCATTAGGGCTTCCTCCATATTTTCGGGGAGCAAAGAGGGCTGAATTGTTAAATCTGAAGTGCAGAGGGATTCCCGACTCGTCCTGAGCACAAGGCAGGTCAGTCTCCTTGAGGGCCTCCAGGACAGATGGGGTTCCCCAATCTGCAAAGGTGATCAGAAGTTGGACGTTTTCCTTCAGGTCTTTTCCCAACACGGAGAGCATGGAATCAAAGATGCATTTCTGGGTGTGAGTTGAATGGGCAAGGAAGGCCTGGGCCACCAAGCAGATGGCATCCACGTGGTCAATGCCCCCTGGGGTGGAGAAAAACTCCAGGAGCTGCTTCTCCACCAGTTTGTTTTGCTCTGCACCACTTGTGCCTCCAAATACTGGAGTGTCAATGATTGTGAGAGAATAGGGAATTTGGAAACCCTTCTGATGGTTCACCACGTAGGCTGTAACTTCAGATGTCCTCCTTCCAGCTTCTCTCCTCTGAGTGGTTTCATGAGTGAGTTTGAATCTGAAATTATCTTCCCACTGGACACCCAGGATGTAATTCATCATCCCATTGATCAGAGTAGTTTTCCCACATCCTGTTTCTCCCATCACCAGGATGACTTTGTTGGGCACTTCCAGGTTCTCCTTTCCAAAATGGTACATCAGAGAGAAGGTGGAGGCATCTGAGGGGACTTCCTCCAGAGGAAGGGCGAAAACTAGTGGCTGTGTGTCCTCCACCAGGGAGCTTTTCTGAAGGAACTGGGTGGCTACATTGTCTGCACTTTCTCCCTCCAGTGATGTGGAGACCTCCAACTCCTCACTGGGGACACCCAGAACTCCATTATCACACATGGCTGACACCCGTATTCTATACGCCGTCTGGGGCTTCAGACCTTCAATGGAATAAACCTCTGTTTTACTCCCAGTCCTTTTTTCAGTCCACTGGACACTCCCAATTCCAGCCTTCACCATTCTGTACTCCACCTTGTACTCCTTGACCACAACTCCTGAGGCAATGATGCTGGGACTTATCCAGGCCACAGAGATGACAGAAGATGCCGCAGTGACCATTCTTAATTCCTTAGGAGGGCTGGTGGGAAGGGTCTTTATGGATGGGCTCAGGCCACTGGTTCTACCATGGCCTACCTTGCAACAAGCAGCATACTGGAACTGGTACTCTGTGTTTGGAGGCAGATCTTTCAGCAGGAACATCTCCCCGGCATCCTCTGTCCTCACGGTCTTCCAGGTTTCTTCTCCTGCAACCTTGTACTCTACTAGATAGTTGGAGATGGAAGCCTTTCCATATTCAGCTGGCTGAAACTTCAGTTGAATGCTGTCATGTCTTAGTTCACTGATCAGGAAAGGGAGAGGTTTTGAGGGCAACTCAAAATTCTTGCTGACCAGCTCGCCCTCTTCATAAAGATACATGGTAGGCCCTGGTGTGTCCAGATCTGGGAGAGAGGCCACAACAAAGTGGACTTCCTCATTGGATTGATTGATACTGAAAAAGTCTTTGATGGATTTGGCAGCTTGGCGAGCACTGCGAGTCCACTCCTTGTCCTCAAACCAGGCCGTGTCTTCCTCCTGCGGGAGAAAAAACGTTGTCAAGTTACCTAATTCTTTCAAGAATTGCTCCTGAAGCCAATCCTGTAATCTCAAGAGAAATTGTTCCTCTTTATGTAAAGAAGTGAATGTAAAGGAGACCACATATACATTCTGGAGGTCAAGAACTATTTCTTCCAGATTGTTCTGAGATGAGATAACTTCTATATTATTGAGAATAGTCAGATAAGATTTGATAAAGTTAATTTCTCTTTCCTTGGTGTCCAGAAATTCAAAGAGTTTTTGGCTGTTGAAGGGCGACTGATTGACAGATGTCAAGATGTCTAGCAGGGTCCCTTCCTCCTGCCCTCCTCCCCGGATGGAAGGCAACTCTCTGGCCAGCTTTTTCTGGAAAGTCTGCCTGTGTTGCTTGCACAGATCCTTGAACAGTTGGATCTTCCTCTGGATCTCAGGGAAGGTCTCAGCAATGGGATTCTTGGCTAGATCGTTGATTTGCATCTCAATTTCGTTGAGTTCCTCCAAGATCTTTTCAGCATCAAAGATCAATGCTAGGCTGATCTCACGGACCAGTTTAGCTGCTCTGGGGTCCAGCTTGCTCAGTGGGTAGAGCCAGACCTGCACAGGCACAATCTTCTGCCCACGTTCTCTTAATATTTTTGGTAGAGATTCATAAACTTTCATGGCATCTTGGAAAGTGACTGGATTTCTCTCCAAAGAAAAGTCTCCATGGAATTTGCACCTGAACTTCAGAGCATTCTCTTTCTCCTCCTCAGTCAGTTGGTCCTCTGCTTCTCCTCCAATAGATATTTCCTTCGTGAGTGTAGCCTGGAGGTTTCCCTCTATATTTTTTACCATCTCCGTTGAAGAAACTTCTCGGTCAAAGACAAAGAAGGCCTGGGCTCCATAGAGGATGGCAGTGACCACGTGGGTGGCTGTGCCATGCTCAAAGACAGCTGGGTAAGAGACATTCTGCCTTCCTAGGTAGTTCATTGTCAGCTGTTCATACCTGGTGGTGGTTTTGTACTGAACGGTGACTCTGGCCTGTTTCTTGGACTTCTTGGTGTCATGGAGATACTCTGCTGACCCTCCCACTTTAATCAGCCCCGCAAGGAAACTGGCCTTGAGGGAAGCTGAGATGTCCAGGGCAAAGGCCTTGTCATCAATGCTGTCCGAAGAAATGATTTCTGATTTTGTCTTGGGCTGAAGGTTTATGTTCAGGTCCTTCTGAAGATAGCTGTAATCCCAAAGGGTGAACCCTGCATAGAACAGGAGACGACATGAAGATAAATGTGAAACCTGACTTCCAAAAGACTTGCAGCTGGATAGAGAAGCCCCAGAGAACTCAGACAAGGGGTCTTCATTTCTCCCAGAGGAGAATCTCATCTATCCAGCAAACACTTCAGGAACCTCTTGCCTGTTTTGCAAAATACTGAAAAAACCCCAAAGGCTTTTGACTAAGTAGAGGTTTTGTCAATTTCCACAGCATTTCAGTGAGTTAGCTTTGGAACAACCCCCCCCCGCCATGTTTGGTACACAGGGACAGCCCTGCTGCGTGGTAGGCCAAGGGCTGGATGCACATTCCCAGGCAGAAGACCCTACTCAGCTAGCTATCAGGGTTCCAACCAACCTACCCATCACAAACAAACCTCTGAGGCAGGTAGATCCCTCAAAGAATAAGTTTATTGGATATGTCATACTGGCACAGGTGGTGAAAACCCCTTATAAACATTAAAAGTAGAAGTTTTGTCACTTTCCCAAAACAATCAGTCACATGGTCCAATCAGGACACATTCTAGTTGCTAAGTGATCTCAGTCCGCTCCTTCTGAACACCGGCAGGAATGTCCTTGGTTCCCAAAAGAAAGTATTTTGTTTTGAATACACTTACCCCAAGATCTTTATTCCCCTCTCCCTATTCCTTAGCTCCAGTGTGTCAGCACCGAAGTCTCAAAATGGCCTCTGTCAAGTCAGCTTCAGGGTTGACACTAACTGGTACTAGCAGGCCGCGTGTTCAGGATGCCAGCTCTGAAGTGTTCCTGGGCTAAGCTTGCGCATTGATGGCAGAGCCCGTCTCCCTCCCTCCCAGGTTTCCTGCCACCCCTCAGCCTCTCCTCCGGCTCTTACCTGGGATGAGGGCATCCTTGCGGCAGTCGTAAAGCATCCCCAGCTGGAAGGGGCGGCCCAGGGCTGGAATCTCGATGGCGTCCTCTGCCAGGGCCATGCTTGGTTCTTGTGGGTTGTTGACACTTCTGGTGCCCTGCAAGAGAGAGGAACCATCTGGGGGACGCCGAGACTGACCGATGACTCTCCTAGGGGATGCAGGATGTGGGCACATGCCACATTCTACCAACTGATGCTGGACCAATTTCTGGGGTGGCTAAGGAAGGGTCTCTGCCCAGAGCAGTGGGGCAGGAGCAGCAGTCTCAGGGCACGGCTGGTGGCAGTGCTGAAGCCTCCTGGAGGCCAACATTGGCAACTTCTCCATCAGAGGTGGGATCCCTCTGGACAGGCATTTTTGTGTCACTGAAGAATCTCCCTAGACTTATTGGGGAGCTTTGAGGTCCACAATCCCAAAGCAGACAGGGCCCCTTTTCCCTTTAGATCACGGGTGGCAAAGTCACGGGGTGCTTAGATCTGGCCCACAGGGCCACCCTGGAAACAGTAAAGGACCAGCCTATGGTGCCTCTGCCAGCAAAAATAGAGCTTGGGGCCCCACACGGCCCTCCAAGGCTTCATTTTCAGCTGCAATGGCCTCCTGCAGCCCTCTGACAGCGAAAATGGAGCTCCATGTTTGCTGGAGAGGTTTGCAAGAGGCCACCACGGCCGAAAATGGAGCCTCGATGAGTGACGTCGAGCTGGCCACGCCCCCTGGCCACGTCCTTGAAGACATTTCGATTCTGATCAAGCAGCTTCTTTAGTTCCGAACTGGATGAGAAGCGAAACACATTAGGACTGCCATCCTGCCACACCAGAGATCCTTGACAGATGCCACTCTGCCATACACAATACACAATAGGGTGAGGGAGCTGCAGGGAGGTAAAGGGAGGGCTACAATAAGGGAAATCGAAACTACTTTGGAAAAAGTGCAAAGAAGAGCAACTAAGACGATTGAAGGGCTGGAGACGAAAACTTATGAAGAACGGTTGCAGGAATTGGCTTTGGCCAGTCTGGAGAAAAGAAGGACTGGGGGTGACATGACAGCAGCATTTCAGTATTTGAGGGGCTGCCCCAAAGAAGAGGGGGGGTTTCCACCTATTTTCCAAAAGCAGAAGAAGGCAGGACAAGAAACAAGGGATGGAAACTCATCAAGAGAAGCAGCCTGGAATGAAGGGGAAACTTCCTAACAGGGAGGACAGTGGAACAGCTGGCCACTGGAAGTTGTGGGGGCTCCAACACTGGAGGCTTTTGAAGAAGAGGTTGGAGAGGCCGTTGTTGGAAATGGACGAGCAGGAGATTGGACTAGAAGAGAAAGCTTGATCCCCACCCGCACCCCGGGAGAGCCAGAATTTGGCACCTCCATGGAAAAGCTCCCGGGAGGGGAGAGAGCTGCCATTGAGGGGGAGGGGGACGAAGGGGACCCTCCCTGCCACCCTCAATTGCGGCTCTTTCTTTCTCTGGCTGCCCGGAGAGAACTCAGCAGCCTTCAGAAAAGGAGCAATCCCCCCTCCCCAAATTACCTGGAACCCCCCCCCCAACAACACAGGTGCTGCTTCTGTGCCAGGCTTGTGGCTCCGTTGCCTGCTTTCCCCTCCCTCCTCCGGCTGCCTTGCCTAAGAAGGAAGAGGGGACCCCGAGTGTCTCCGCTGCTCCCGTCATCCCCCTCGGAGGATCGCCTTTCCCGAGACGGGTCTCCGCCGTCCCCCCCACCCATCAGCCTCTCCCAGACACCAGGACTCGCTTCTTCTTGACTTGCCCTCCGCCGATGCCCAGGAGGAGCTCTGCGCTCGCCCCGCTTCCCTCCCATGCCCCACCCAATGCCAGTTGGGGAGGGGGTCTCACCTGGTTGGAGGGAATCGGGAATCCCCACCGGCAGGAGGATCTGCTTCTCTGCTGGATCTCTTCCAAGGGAAGTCTTCTGCTTCGTCTTCAGGGCGCTCAGGAAACGAAAGTGGATGGAGCAGGGAAAAAACAAACAAACGGGAAAATGTGTTTGAGAAATGAGTTCCACAACCGTCCAGCAGAGGGCAGCAAAGACCTCTCTTGGTCCTTCACTCCTCTGTGCAGATGACTAGACAACTTTTAAGATTTCTGGACTTCAACTCCCAGCAGTCCAGAGCCTGCTATGCTATTTGAAGAATTCTGGGAGTTGAAGTCCACAAGTCTTAAAGTGGCCAAGTTTGGGGACCCCCTGCTCTGTAGAGCTGCTTCTACTCACAAGGAATTTGGCTGATTTCCCTCCAGAATGTGTGTTCCTGAAATTAGCACCCGCTTTCCAAGAGAGAGAAGAGTTGGGGTCTTCTGGAAGGAGGCAGTTCTTCCTCCCACTGCATCCCCTATCTTCTCTTGTTAAGGTTAGAGACCCTCCCCCACTCCCCACCCCATGGTTAGGGTTAGGGTTGGCCTGAGAGGAGGGATCCAGAGGTGGACCTCGGACTCTCCAGGATTTGCAGACTTCGATGATGCTGTCAGAAATCAGGAGTGTCTCTCCTATATCCTAACACCGAATATTATGACATATGGAACAGATTCTCTCAATGGGTGGAAGCACGAGGGTGGAGTTGGAACATGAAAAAATTAGGCTAGGCAGACCTGGAACGAGATCCTATATATGTATCATCTTATTAGGATGAAGATGATGGTCAAAAGCATTTGTACAATACTAGCAATGTTCAAGTAGTATATACGTCATCTGTTTTCACTTTGGTCTTTATGGCGGATGAAATGCCAGGTCAATCACACCCTATTCGATATAGTTATAGGTAAATAATAAAAATGTAATGAAAAGAAAAAAAGAAATTGCACCGAGTTTCAGGAGCGTCTGCAGGATTTCATCAAAAGCTGAGGTGGTGCCACCGGGGAGCCCTTGAAGCTCTGTCCATCTTGTAGGCATCTCCAGTTGACTTTCTCATGTTCGGTCCAGCCTTGGCTTCCAGCCTTTTCCAGCCGAAAGGGTCACTGGAGTCCGGGTTGCCCTGGCCCTCTTTTCCACCCATCCAGGAGCCTTCTCCTGCCACAGTCCATTGTTATGGCTGCCCGTCCACCCTGGTCCCTCGCTCAGGCAGCTCCAGTTGCTTCAGCCAGCTGGACTCTGCTGTCTTGTCCTTCCAGCCGGTCCCTTATGAAGTCTCCTCCCAGCAGGCAGGTCATGAGGTGGGATGGTGGTCAGATGGCTGGTCGGCTCTTCCTTCCTCTCCCTCAGTGTTTTCTCCTGCTGCTTGCAGGTCTCTCCTTCCATTGCTTCTCTCCTTTGTTAATTCCCCTGCCTCCCTCCCTTTCTCTCGATCTCTCTCTTTTTCCTTCCTCCTCCTTTCCCTATCTTTCCCTTCAGGCTAATTTCTCTATTTTTCCCTCAGGCTAATTTCTCTATTTTTCCCTCAGTCTAATTTATCTATTTTTTACTCAGGCTAATATCTCTATTTTTCCCTCAGTCTAATTTATCTATTTTTCCCTCAGACTAATTTCTCTATTTTTCCTTCAGTCTAATTTATCTATTTTTTTTTCAGGCTAATTTATCTATTTTTCCCTCAGTCTAATTTATCTATTTTTCCCTCAGGCTAATTTATCTATTTTTTTCTCAGTCTAATTTATCTATTTTTCCCTCGGGCTAATTTATCTATTTTTTTCTCAGGCTAATTTCTCTATTTTTTCCTCAGTCTAATTTTCCAGGGTGGATAAAAATCGATGATTTTTTTTAAAAAATTGATTTTTAAAAAAATTAAATCAGATTTTTTAAAATTTAAATCAGATTTTTTATTTCTATCGTATTTATTTTAACAAAATGCTTTTGGGGTAAAAAAAATCTATTTAAAATAGTTTTCTATTTAAGATACATGAATAATTTAGTTTATTCAGCATGAAATGGAGCTTAATTATGCAGCAGGAGGCTGTATATTCCGAAATATCTGCATTTTTCCTTAAACTCATTCAAGGAATCCAAGCTCTGCAAGATAAATAGGGAACCTTCATTTCCCCATGTTTGCAAATAATAATATTGTGATAAACAGCTCCCATTCGCATATGGAACTACCCGAGACAATAACTTGAAAGTAGCAAAGAATGTTATTAACGTATTTGCAATGAGGTGAGCAAGCAGAGTGGACGTGCCTCAAGGCACATGTCAGCCTTTTTGTCCCCCTCCACAGACCCATCTCCTCCCCCTCCACTTTTCCTGTTTAAAGCTTCACCGTTTTAACCAACTTTTACTTAGCATCAACTTTATTGCCTCTTTTCTTCCCTGCTTGCCGTTGCAGCTGGCTCTTTGGGGTGTTAGCTATTTCCTGTTACATGTTTTTACAGACAGCTTATAATTTTTCCACTTACATGCATTTATGCATTTAAGCATTTTAGAAACTATGCACGCTCCATTTTGTTTTGCATATAACGATTATATATTTATATATATCAGGATTTGTTTATTTATCAATATTAAAGCTTCTCACTACCAGCAAGAACGAGTCCTTGCATTGAAAGAGCGCCTGTCTTTTCAGATCCATCCTGGCAGCGCCTGTAAGCGGACATCCCCTCACCTGCTGCCCCCCACGTCCCTCACCTTGTTGGGTCCCTGTCGCATCCCCAGCCGTCCCATTGAAGTAAACGGGACGGTCGGTCGGTCAACAGCGAGTCAGAGGAGAAGCCTCTGTGGGACAGAGATGACAGTTGCTCTTTAAAAATTACGATTTAAATTGATTTAAATTAAGCCTTTACACAAGTGATTTAAATCGTGATTTAAATCGACTTGATTTAAATCCAATCCACCATGAATTTGTCTCTGTCTTTCTCAGGTTAATTTCTCTACCTTTCCCTCAGGCTTCTCCCTCTCTACTTTCCCCACAGGTCTCTTTAACTTTCCCTATATCTATATAGAGAGGGGTGGGTGCTACTGCAGTCCTGGTCAGATGATGGGGGGGTTTCTGTTATGAGCTGGGTCCCCCCTCATCTTGGCCCTTATCCCCAGGGCACACCTGGAGAGGGGATTCAAGGCCCATTGGGGTTCCAGGTTGGGGGCTGGAAAAGAGCTGAGGAGTGGCCCCAGGAGGGAAGGTCTGCTTCCTGGGTTTGGTAGGGCCATTAAGCCAGCTGGAATTGGGGCTCTCAAGCATCACAGGGTGTGTGTGGGGGGGGGAGTCTACCTGCATCCCCACCCCCAGTTTTCAAGGAGAACATTTTTTTTCATGGCTTCCTTGACCTCCTTCTCTGCAGGGCTGTGTCCCCACTTCCTGTCTTTGGGGCTCCGTCTCTGGGGAGGAAACTGAGATAAGGAGGAGCTGGAGGGATTTCAGACCCACTGCAGACGTTCTTGGGAGCCCCCACCCCACAAAGGGGAAGGCTGAGAAGAAACACCTGGAGTGGAGCTGAGGGACACTAAAGAGATGGGAAGGACCCAGCAGGAGCCTGATTTCCACCCAGAAGGACCCAAAGTGAAGAGTTTTCGGGGAGACCCTGCATTCCGACTCAGCCCTCGAGTATATTCTCCTCATTCCATGTCCCCCTCCTCCAGGAAGTCAGGACAGTCTCCCTCTTGTCATCTGCCTGGTGAGGGCATCATTGTGTGGAATCAATTATGCTGAGTTGACCAATCTCCCAGTTTCCCTGATCCCCCCTCCCAAAAAAGACAGCCTCTTTTGTAAGAAAGGAGGAAATTTACTAAGACAGTCTCAGGGTGAAACAGAGGGGGGTAGTTCCACACGGTGCCTGTTAGGTATAAATATCTGACCTCGTCCTCATGCCATGGGGCAAGGACTACCCAGAGACCTTTATACCCACTGACCCCTCCTTACCTTAGCTCCGCCCCATGGGTACTTAAAGTCCATCCAGGAGATCCGGAGCCACTTCCAGCTGCTCACCTGTAAGGACAAGATGTCATGTAAATAAATGTTTGTTGAAACTACACGTGCTTGTGTATTGAAGTCATTGGGCTCGATCCATGAACAATTCTAACAGTGCCTAGATCCTATGCATGCACGTATGGGGCTTTGCTCTCTTGCGTGGCCCAGTTGAGTTGGGGAATTGGCTCAGGGAGAGTCGGCCACGAATCTCATACTTGGGTTCTTCAGAGGTCACGTGGTGAGGGCTGAATTGGAACACAGAACTGAAGGGCTCAACGTTCTGACTGACCAATCAAAGCAAGCACGGTCGAGATGATTCAATCTCTTAATGCAAAAGTTTATCGAGTTCATCGTATTGGCAAAGATGAGGGCAAAACCAGATCTAGCTAATTCCCACCCAGAGCCACATAGTTGAAGTTCAGGTTCTCCCTCCCCCTATTGGACCAGCTCCCATTGTCCAATGGAGTCTCCTGGTATTGTTCTGAGAAAGTCTGGTAAACACCTGTTGAAGTGTCCTTGGTTCTCATGGCTGGCATCTTTATTTTATTCATTCATTCATTCATTCATTCATTCATTCATTCATTCATTCATTCATTCATTCATTTTTTCTTTAACATATGTAGGTACTGTATTTTCCGGACTATAAAACGCACCTTAATTTTGGGGGAGGAAAACAAGAAAAAAAGAATTCTGCCTCTGCCTATCAGCATCAGGATCAGCGGTGTCCTCACTTCCATTTGGATTTTGATAATGAGTAGCACAGATCTTTTTATCAGTTTAAAACAAATCCTATCTATTTACCTGGACTGGGTAGGGTGGGGTGGGGGATGATTTTCATGGGGGCAGAAATCTCAGGAGGTTAAGGAGAAGCCTGCTGCTACAGGGGGTGGAGATCTCCAGTCCTCGCACAACGATGCCCTTGGAGTGATGTCCCGGTGTCTGGAGGCCATGCGGATCTGGATGGGGAGGAACAGGCTCAGGCTCAACCCATCCAAGACCGAGTGGCTGTGGTTTCCGATGTCCCGATATAGTCAGCTGGCGCCATCGCTGACTATTGGGGGTGAATCATTGGCCCCCACGGAGAGGGCTCGCAACTTGGGCATCCTCCTGGATTCACGGCTGTCTTTAGAAGAGCATTTGACGGCCGTGACCGGGAGGATTTTTCATCAGGTTCGCCTGATCCATCAGTTGCATCCATTTCTGGATCGGGACTCCCTACACACAGTCACTCATGCCCTCGTCACTTCCCGCCTGGACTACTGTAACGCTCTCTACAGGGAGCTCCCCTTGAGGAGCACCCGGAGGCTCCAACTGGCGCAGAGTGCGGCCGCGCGGGTAGTTAAGGGAGCGACATGGCACTCCCGTGTGACACCTCTCCTGCACAAGCTGCACTGGCTCCCGGTGGTCTTCCGGGTGCGCTTCAAGGTTTTGGTTACCACCTTTAGAGCGCTCCATGGCTTAGGACCTGGTTATTTACGGGACCGCCTTCTACCACAAACAGCCTCCCACCGGCCGGTACGCTCTCACAAAGAGGGGCTCCTCCGGGTGCCATTGGCCAAACAGTGTTGGCTGGCGGCCCCCAGGGGGAGGGCCTTCTCTGTGGGGGCACCCACTATCTGGAACGAGCTCCCCCTGGAGATACGGCGGATCCCGGATCTGCGCACTTTCCGCCGTGCACTTAAGACTCTCCTATTTCAGCAAGCTGGCCTGGCCTAACCTCTTCCCTGTTTCTTTTAAATTTTTTAAATTGAAATTTTTAATTTGTTTTTAAATTATTGGGATTTTAATTATTTAATTTGGTTTTATTGATGGTTTTAACTTTTGTATTATGTATTTTATTCTGTGCCTGTTCACCACCCTGAGTCCTTTGGGAGTAGGGCGGTGTATAAATCTAATAAAAGAAAGAAAGAAAGAAAGTTATGAAGGCAGCCGTCAGAACTGCTGGAGCTGCTTCCAGGCAGGTCCTGGGAGAAGAAGAAAATTCTGGGCACATTGAGAACACACACGTTCTTGTTGCTGGAAGAAGGGGAGAAGGGCTGCTTCTCCTGCAGTCTCCTCCCCCCACCCCCCCATCCTTGCGCCTTGTGCCTGCCCTCCTCCCTCCTCAGCCACCTTCTCCTCCCAACCGGTCTTCATGCCCAGAGGGACTCCAGCCGCAGTCGAGGTTGGTTCCCCCCCCCTGCTCTCTTAAACTGAACTGCACTGAGCAGCTGGGGGGGGGGCGGTGTGAAGGAGAAATGTCTCAGCTCCACCCAGCCACTTGGCATTTTGACCACCTGGAACGGATCAGCGGCGGCTGCTGCTTTCTCCCAGGATCATTTATCAACGAGTCAGAAAAGCAGGGCAGTTCAGTTTAAGAAAGAAAGAAAGGGGAGGAGGGGAACCAACTTCGACCTTCTTCCAGCAACAGAAGGTGCTTTCTCAACATGGCCAGAGTTTTCTTCTTCCCCTTTAGCCACCAAGAAGGAAGAGGGCACGTGGCTCTGCAAATTGCACTGGAGAATCGGGGAGGAAAACGCCGGAAAATGTGATGCACAGAGGCCGACAACCTCCCAAGGGTGGGGGCCAGTGGGTGGGCGGGGCTACATTCGGCGTAAAAGACGCACCCAGATTTTCACCCCCTTTTTGGGGGTAAAAAGGTGCGTCTTATACACCGAAAAATACGGTATTTAATAAACAGTGTATTGTCTGGGTCACATTACATATACATAATAATAGTAATAATAATACTGTTTGCTTGTATATAATAGTATTCTTCCAACTTCTAATTTCTACTTTTATTATCTAACCAGTGATAAAACAAATCCCAAGTTAAAAAATATTCTGTATCTTCTTCATCCTGTATCCTTAATGTTAACCTA